TTATTCTCTTCAGCTGCCCGCATGTTTTAATAAAAAGCACAAATGGGTGGAGAAGCAATTTGTATGAGAGCAGAATTTTGGCCTTTTACTGTACAAAGGAAACAAAACAGAAGAAACTGCCTAAATTCTCTAAAAGTTCAGACGTCGCCTCTGGCACTTTATTCAAGAGTTCACACTCTCACAGACGCCAGAGGAGCTACTCTTTAATACTTAATTAGAGTTCAGCTGGAGTGCCAGAGCTGAAGTGGATCTAAGGTTATGTGGTTTAGCATTTTCTTTACTGTAAGTGTCTGTCCCAAGAGATAGTGTTTGACTTAGTTTAGAATACAGTTTCTGCTTTGTTTAATGGTTTCATTGACTTCTGGTGCTGGCTGAGAGTCTGGCAAGTGAAGCCAAATCCATCTCAAACTTTAAATATTTGAAACTTAACTTTAACAAAACCTGTTGATGGCTGCCCTTATATCAACCCAGCAGGTTGGGAGTTGCAGAGCCTTGAAGGAGGCATCTGTGGTGTTTTCTCAAGTCACTGATTTGGTTCCTGTTACTGCATATTTGGCATAGCATTGGAAGTGAATATTTAATTTTGCTGCACCCTGGATTTTACCTAGGTTTTAAATGTGTATGTGGGGGGAAGAGCTGAAGCAGCAGGATGGGTGCTCTACAGATGGCTGGGTAGATACGTATCTTAACTGCTAGACTGTCACACTTAAACAGGTATCCAATAAAAACAAATTATTTTAAAGCGGCTATAATATATTTATAATTACACTGTGTGAAACCCAATGTGAAAATGATGTGACAATATGTTAGGAGTTGCCTGTAATGATAAACCTGCAGATAATTATCACCTGAATATGCAGCACCCTTGGCTTTACAGAACTTTCAGCTCATCGTTTAGCTGTCTGGCCCACAACTTTATTGTTTTGGTTCACTCTCCCCGCTCTCATGTCTTGTGTGAATGTTTTTTCCGTTCTGATGAGCAGTTGACAACTTAGCCTCTGCCATCAGTCCATGAATGGGTGAATGTGACATAGTGGTAAAGCGCTTTGCGTGGTCAGAACACTAGAAAGGCGCTACACAAATACAGACCATTTACCATGAGCATTTAGAGGCAGATATTTCCCTCAGGTGCTGTTAGAGACCAAAAGCAGAGCTAAAAGAGAGTGCATGTTGTGTTCACAACTGTTGCCCCCAAGTGGCTGAAAAAATTTGTTATTGCAGGTTTCAACATACAAATCTGTTAGTCTTCTTCAAATTAATGTCCTATCCTTCAAATTAATGTCCTATCCCCATAACTCAATACTTTTCTTATTCCTTAATTATAAATAAACGAACTTCGTCTGCTTGCAAACAAATATAAGGTGGGAGTGATCACTTCACTGAAACTTGGTTTGATAGCTCCATTAAAGACACTGAGATTGAAATAGAAAATTATGTGGTGATCAGACATGACCGGAATCATAACGGTGGAGGAGTGTGTGTTTATGTCAGATCAGACATCGGTTTTAATCATAGGACTGATCTTTGTCATGACAATATTGAATCAGTGTGGCTGGAAATTTTATTACCAAAGACTAAACCTATTTTAATTGGAACATGGTATAGGCTGATCAGAACAACTTTTATGATATTTTAGAGGAAATATGTTCTAAGTGCACAGATTTTATTAAATCAGAGGTAATTGTGATTGGTGACTTTAATACAGATATACAAAAAAAGAATACGCCTATTTTTAAATTTCTGTAATCTCTTTGATTTGTATCAGTTGATAAAGGACCACACCAGAGTCTGTTCTTCCACCCAAACCACTATCGACCTCATTCTGGTATCATATAAGTCAAATATATCCAATAGTGGGGTTTTAAATTATGGACTTAGTGATCATTCAATTATTTTTTGTACCAGGAAAGCTCAGAAAATAGTTTTTAATTTACACAATTCTATGAAAGTCAGGTTTCTAAAAAATTATAATATTAATCATTTTACCCAAATCCAAAGTAGACTGATCTATGGTATTGAATCTTAGGGATGTGGATAAAGCATGGCAGACAAACATTGTTTGTGGAGGTTGTTAACAAGCTTGCTCCAGAAAAGATGGTGCAAATTAAGATTAGAACTGAACCATGGATGAACAACAATATTTTAAAGGCTAGGACAAGAAATCATCTTTTTTCAGAGTACAGGAAAACTAGAGATGAATCTTTATTAGTATCTTTATGAGTACAAGAAACTCAGAAATGACATAAACAGAAATATAGAGGAGGCCAAAAAAGCATACAACAATGACAAAATATTAGAGAATAGGAATAATCGATAACACACTTCCCTGGGGGACCCCACATTCTAGGAACAAAGGTTTAGATAGAATCCCACCGACATCCACCATTTGTTTTCTACCTCCAAGATATGAACCAATCCATTTTATAGCTAAACTGTCAAATCCCAAGGCTTTTAATTTTCTAAACAGAATGGCATGGTCAATGGTATCAAATGCCTTTTGGAGGTCTAACATGACCTATCACTATACCCTATAGTGATAGGCTCAAGACCAAAACATGCAATCTAAACCTGGATATTGGAGGAAAGGTTACGTCAGATAAGGCCACGATAGCCGACAGTTTAAATATGTATTTTACAACCGTTGCGAAAACCTTGGTCAATAAGTTGTCAGGTCTCTCAGGATACATTGGAAACAGCCAAGTCCAGATTTTCTATATGAAACAAGGGGTCCAGGCTGATGCTTTCTCTTTTACAATAGTGTCTGAGGAAGCTGTGTTAAAGAAACTTAAAGAACTTAACCCATCCAAAGCAACTGGCTTGGATAAGATTCCTGCCAGATTCCTTAGAGATGCTGCGGATTCTATCACCCCCTGTGTAACACATATAGTAAACCTTTCAATTACGCTGGGAATGTTTCCCAATGAATTTAAACAGGCAAGAGTTATCCCCTTCTATAAAAAAGCAAGTAAGCTAGATCCAGGGAATTATCGGCCTAGATCCATCCTGTGTGCGCTATCTAAGGTAATAGAGAAGATAATTTATGAACAGATAGATACATATATTTCCTCAAATGATTTATACTATACATTTCAATTAGGCTTCAGGACATCCCACTTCACTGACACTTGCCTACTCTACCTCACCGATTACATCAGGAGAGAGATAGATGGGGGAAAGTATTGTGGTATGGTCATGTTAGACCTCAAAAAAGGCATTTGATACCATTGACCATGCCATTCTGTTAAGAAAATTAAAAGCCTTGGGATTTGACAGTTTAGCTATAAAATGGATTGGTTCATATCTTGGAGGTAGAAAACAAATGGTGGATGTCGGTGGGATTCTATCTAAACCTTTGTTCCTAGAATGTGGGGTCCCCCAGGGAAGTGTGTTAGTTCCACTGTTTTTTCTATTGTATATTAATGATATGAAATCTGCTTGCTCATGTGAACTTTTTTATATGCTGATGACTCTGCATTAATGGTATCGCAAAAGGATAAATCTGAGGTCGAAAAAGTCCTGAGCTGGGAATTATTTCATATTAGTCAATGGTTGTCTAACAACAGGTTGTCACTCCATCTTGGTAAAACAGAGGCCATACTCTTTGGATCAAAGTCTAAGCTATAGAAGACCACAGACTTTAAGATGATGGTTGGAGACACTGAGATCCAAGCCGAGGAATCAATGTTAATTACTTGCTGTGTCTTAGACAACCATTTATCAGGAGAGTGCATGGCTCAGATGGTGCTCACTAAAATCAACCAAAGAATCAGATTTCTGGCTAGAATCTCAAATTTTTTGAATAGAACAGCATTAGAGACCTTGGCAAGGGCTCTAATCCAGTGTCATTTTGATTATGCATACCTCTCGTGGTATATAAGTGCACCTATGATCCTTAAAAAGAAGCTGCAGACATCGCAAAATAAATTGGTGCGACTGATCTTTAAACTCCCATCTAGGACACATTTTCTTCCTGCTCATTTCATCAGCCTTAAATGGCTGAAGGTAGAAGAGCGAGTTTCTCAAATTAAAATGTGTCTAACTTACAGGATTGTACACAATGAAGTTCCAAAGTACCTGTACAACTACTTTACCAAAATTAGGGAATACTATAATTATACCACAAGAGGGAGTACAACTGATCTGGTACCCATTAGGTTTAAGAGTTGTATGGGGAAGGATACTTTCTTGTATTCAGCTGCCAATATGTGGAATAGGCTACTGATGAGCATTAAGTCCTCACTTAAAAAGTGGCTGAGTGGCCGTTTTCCCTCACAATAACAATTATAATATAAATATTATTAAATGTTGTCAATATGGTTTTGTTTGAATCTCATTGCTAAGTTTGTATTGTACTGGCCCATTCAATACTTGAATTTCCTTATATGGTGTATTCTGATGTTGAAAAGATTGGTATTATTGTATAATGTATTGTTACCGATTGCATTTTATTTATTATTATTTTATATATATATATATATATATATTTTTTTTTTAAGACAACCAGTGTCTACTTGGAAGCTGCTAATAACTAACTGGTTGCCTTTTCATGATGCTCCTACCTATTTGCCTTCCAAAAAAGGACCACAATGGAAATAAGCTGTGTGCTTTATTGTGTTTTTTATCCTTTTGATGGTATCTGTAGCTGGGGCATCTCCTGTTGGAGGCGCCACTTTTATATTTATAATCAATAAAGAAGCTCAATCAATCAATCAATTTGTCTTGTTCATTGGAGCAAACAAGCAAAAATGACAAAAGTACCATTCTGAGAGGCATCACAGTTTACATTAATCCACAAGACTACAAGAGTCTCTGTCTCTCTGCTATAGTACAAGTTGACAAAACACATTTTCAAGTAATTTCCAGCTTACCCGAGCGTGGTGTGAAAAACAATTAAGAAGACAATAAAGATATATCAGCAAGATGGAGCTCTAGCTCACAGCAAGATGATAACATTTTTTAATGGTGCATACACACATCACTGTCTGTTATTCTTTCCCCAGTGCGGACGAGCGGTTTGACGCCACTTTCCACACCAACGTACTGGTGAATGCTTCGGGTTACTGCCAGTACATCCCCCCTGGCATCTTGAAGAGCACCTGCTACATTGACGTGCGTTGGTTCCCCTTCGACGTGCAAAAGTGTGACTTGAAGTTTGGCTCCTGGACGCACAACGGCTGGCTGCTTGACCTCCAGATGCTGGATGTGGACACATCCACCTACATACCCAACGGGGAGTGGGACCTAGTGGGTAAGAGAGATGCTGCATTCACTGCAGGTGAAAAAACAATAACGCTGTTAATCTGGTACACACAGATCCGGACCGTCCTATACACTCTGTACGCATGCCCCGCAAATGAAGCAGGGCCCCAACTAGCTCTCATGTCAAAGCGAGTGTCAGTGTTTACAATTTGATGAAATGATGAAGAGGGACTATCCTTCTGGCCAGAGAGAAAAAACTTAAGAGTGACTTTCGGGAATCAGGTAAACTTGTGCTCTCTCCTCCTCCTCTTTCCTTTCCTCCCAAAATCTGATGTCAGCAAATAACAGTAATGTTTAGTTTGTGCTAGCTTGCTGTGAGTCTCTCTCTTGCCAGACTTTGAATCTGACCAACATGTGAAATACAACTATTTATTACTTTTGATAACCACGGACGGGCAACAGTAAACTGCAGCTCGGAAAAGATTACCGTGTCATGTGTAAACACGTGTGCATGCACGAAATGAAACCTGCGCAATCCAGCAGTGACCTCTGTGCAGTCCAGCTATTGAATATTACAATGTTGATTGTAGTCTGGGCCATGTGCACATCTCAGTAAATAATAATAAGCATCACAAATTCAGTCAAGACATATAAATAGTATTTTACATTTGAAAATGTATTAAAAGTATAATTTACCGGGGCTATGCTGAAGTTTGTCAGTAGAGTAGATCCTGGATCATCAGTCAGTAGACAGACGTCTTTAGCAAGTCACACAGACCCAGGTGAAATACAGGCAACCTCAGCCAGTACAAGCACAGCCAGATATGTACAGCCAGCATTAGATACAAGCAGCTCAGACCCTAATGGAATAATTGCTGCTCCACCAAATGACCCAGAAGATTGGTTCCCAGTCTGAGGACTGAGTTAGTGTGCAGAGGTTTATTCAAACCAGCATTTGATTTTTCTAGAAGAGATTTTCATTTAGGCTTATTACAGAGGCAGACTGTTTTAAAGGAGGGAGGATTGTACTGAGAGCACTGCAATGTCAGGTGTGACTGTGCAGCAATAACAAATAGTTTACATGGCTCACAAGTCAGGTAGAAGGTCATTTTCCTTAGGGCCCCAGGGAGGTCAGGACCGGCTCTGGGTACACAAGTACAGCTATCCTCATCCTAATGGATCCATTGTGAGTTTCAATTGTATAATTCAACATATTACCATCATTTCGCAATGGGAAATCATTTGGATGGTTGACGCTGGATGAACTGGAAAGGGGAGAAACTTTGGAAGACCTCCCAAGCAGGGTGTTTCCAGCTGAGAGAGAGTAGCAGCAGATCCCAGTGCCTGTGCCCGTGGGGTGATGGTTAGCTGGAAAGGGGTGTCAGGAAGCACCAGATGGCATGCAGTAGGAATGTCTGTCATGTAGCCAGGCCATATGTGAGAGCAGCACAGTGCATTCCCAGAGTTGGAGTTCAAGATGAGATGGTTCAGTTATCAAAAATAAAACATTATTCAGCCTTTCCCCCTTATTTCTTTGGCTTGCTGAACTTCCCCCAATACTATGTAAATAAAGTTCCGAGCCTGGTCAGACTCAGATCCACTCCAATGGTTTGGAGTTTTGGAAATACAATTCTGTTTGTGTGACTTCTGGTGTGGTGCATTCCATGAAATATTTAGACCCATGTTTTCTTTTTCTTCTTTAATCTATCCATCCATCCATATGTACAGAGATTACAGAATCATTACAGTTGGTAATTACAGTAATCGGTCTGATGATTTTCTAGTTAGCACACACATTTTAAAAGGTATTTAAATCTTCAACTTGAATCATTTCATTAGTCCACAAAAAAATGACCTGACCTTTATGTGTGGTCCTCTCTTTAGGTGTGCCAGCCAAGCGCAATGAGCTGTACTATGAGTGCTGTAAGGAACCCTACCCTGATGTGACATTCACAGTTACAATGCGCCGCAGGACGCTATATTACGGCCTCAATTTGCTCATCCCCTGTGTGCTGATCTCTGGCTTGGCCCTGCTGGTCTTCTTGCTACCTGCAGACTCTGGAGAAAAGATTTCTCTGGGTGAGGGATTCTTAAACACACATAAACACACATATTCCTGATAATGTGATAAAACTACTGAAATGATCTATGGTAGAAAGATAGAAAGAATTTTGTGTAGCTTTTAAGGAGAGGTCATTTTGGTAATGAGTAATGACACCACATTAATATACAAAATATTATACAAATAGAGTCACAACTGTACACCAATACATAAACACATTAAAGTACATATATGTATAAAAGCACACAGATCTGTCTACAAACATGCCCTTATGAATCATATAGCAAGCCATGAATACATGCATGTGAAATCAACTTGGAATAATTGAATTTTAAAACAAGAGGCTGACCATTAAATCCAATTTGGAATTCTATCAGTGCCAGTGAGTTTTGATGAATAGCTGTCTGTGGACATGTGTTTGAGGCATTTCTGGAGCTGGACATGTCAGAGGAGCTGCTAGCTGATAAATGGTTGCAGTCATGAGAACATAACTGATTACATACATAGGTAATTATAGGACTGATTTCACACAACAATGACCCTGATCACATCATTGTATATTATGCTCATGCTCTCTCTCTCTTTCTCTCCCTCTCCCTCTCGGTCTCTATCTCAAGGCATCACTGTGCTCCTTTCGCTAACTGTCTTCATGCTTCTGGTAGCAGAGATCATGCCTGCCACGTCCGACTCTGTTCCTCTCATCGGTGGGTTCTATTTATGTGTGTGTGTGTGTGTGTGTGTGTGTGTGTGTGTACATGTAATGTTTTTAAGTGTGCATGAATGTAGAGTCCCCAGGAGGAAGTGACATTAAGATGGGAAGTCATCGTTGCAGATTCCACAGATAGACATTCATTTTTGAACAGCAGCAATTTACAGCTGTACCTGATACTGCATTAGTGCTTGTGTGTATTTACCTCTTGTGAAAAGCTTCACTAAACAGAGGAAAAAAGGTTCCCTAGAAAACAGTCAATCTAAAGTGGCTGTAATATCGATTCAGTACATCAATACAGACATCACTGACCAATCCACAGTAACAATTTAATTGTCCCTCTGAGTATTTCTTGCGGTTCCTGTAAAAACCAGTAATATAAACATGCATTACTTATTAAGTTTTATCAATGTTGGCAGTTTCCTGACCCCTCTTTATACTGTATATGGCCTCTTGAAAAAAATGATAAATAAAACCCATCTTGGCGTGTGGCCGGTAGCCCGAGGGCGCCTATATATCATTCAGAGAGCCACTGGATGGTGTGTGGCGTTAACTGGGTGTCCAGAACTAAACCTGTCAGCCCCATTAATAGGCTATGAAATAATTCTCCACTGAGGAGGCAAGAAAGGAAAGGAGGATAGAAGCAGAAATAATAGATGAAAGAAGGAAGAGGCCAAGAGAAAGGGGAAGATGAGTAACCTTTGGGGCTACGGTTCTCAGAGAGAAAGACTTCAAAGGCCTTTGTGGAGCAAGTGAAGAGGCAGACATGTTAGTGGGGTTAACGCTTCTTATTCAGCTGTCGTCACTGAGTGTTCACCAGGCTAAGAAGAAGAAGAGTTTCTTTTTGTTTGTATGGGTGTGAGAGCGTGTGTGTGTACATGCTTTGACTTAAAACTGCAGTCCTGTGTGTAATGTATCATATCTGTTTCTCTTGGTCAAAGTGAAATATATTGTTCATATAAATTGTACATTATGAGAGTAAGTAGTGTTTGGTCAGTGCTGACCATGGTTACCGCTACATCAATGCAATGATATCTGTCCTCGTTGAGAAAAGCTTGATAAATGCTTCAACTATAGCATGATTAATCTGTTTTTATTTTATTACTCCATGACCTCAACACAAGGCCAACTGGGACACTTTTAGTAGCCTTGTTAAAATGACTCATGCCCCTTTACAACAGAGTGGCCGAATGTAGAGTGAGTTATTGTAGCTGATTGAACCCGACAGTAAATATATCAAGCAAGTGTTCGACACTGCTGCCAGAATCAGGCCATATGTCTTTTACCATTAGCCCTTAATCACCAGATAAGCATAGTGTGCTCATTTCATTTGAGTTCATTTAGTTAGACCAATCTTATCTGGTTCAAGACCCTTTGGCTCAGTTCATTTCAATTCTGTTCAGTTTCAATTCATTTTAAATAAGTTAGTTCAGCCATGATCAACAATGTGGTTCACGACTGAAGATCCCAGAAGTGTTTTAAGCTATTATACGTTTATTATCTGTATTTCTTTCTTCACCACTGTCCTCACAACATTTTCTGCTTTACCTCTTTTTTTTTATCCCCTCTTTACTTTTTCCCTTCAGTCTTTCTTTCCATGATCCTAACATGTAAGGTCATAACCTTCATGAGGTTACATGAAGTTTGACCTTGCTGGCACTGCAGTAGCTGTAGTCGTGTTTAGCTGTTAGCCCTTCGTCGTTCACACTCAGTCACTAGCAAATGAGAAAGGAGGGCAGGCCCGCAGATATACTCTGTGTGTCTGTGTGTGTGTGTGTGTGTGTGTGTGTGTGTGTGTGTGTGTGTGTGTGTGTACATGCTGAGAAAGAGCACAGTGTTCAGTTAACGCTCCCCTCCTCTCTTACTGTTCCCTGATGTGTGTGAAAACATCCCTCCAGAACCAGCACTAATCTCTCTCTCTCTCTCTCTCTCTCTCTCTCTTTTCCTCTGCTCATTTTGGTTGTTTACTCTCTGTTTTGTCACGATTTCTTCACAGTTTTAAAGAGAGGAAAGTGTGCATCTAACTTATTGCACAGATTGATCAGATTTTCTTTCCTTTCATGTTCGAGTGCGAAATCAGTCTATTTTTGGAGTTAATTAAAGCTTAATGTTTTACCTGTCAGTACATGTTTATTAAATGAGGGGTAGTTCAATTTCAACAAGTAATAAAATCCATGTCCATGTAAAGCATGTTAATGTTTTTTGTGTACTCTGCAGCCCAGTACTTTGCCAGCACCATGATGATTGTAGGAATGTCTGTTGTGGTGACAGTTATAGTCCTGCAGTTTCACCATCATGACCCTCAAGGAGGCAAGATGCCCAAGTGGGTGAGTGACCAAAATTGATTTAATCAGATCATCATCACTTTTGTTATTGATAAAATGTAGCACAAATGCATATGTTTGTATAAATGTGTTATCATTCATGTGTGTGCCTCTGACTCTCTCGCTCTCTGTCCTTTCAGGTTCGGGTGGTTCTCTTGAACTGGTGTGCCTGGTTTCTCCGTATGAAACAACCTGGCGAGGAACACAAGCGGACTGGTCACAAGTACCGTCACACCTCCCAGCACCACTCCAGCACCAGCTCCATAGAGATGGGCGCTGTTCCAAGCCTCAGTGTGCCCCTCTCACAGACATCCTGCCCACCTTGCCCTACAGGCACCTCTAATGGTTCCATGAGCCTCTACTTCGGCAACTACCACCCCATAGAGAGCCCACACTGTCCGACTTCTAGCGACTCCGGGGTTGCACTAGGGGGACGTGGCCACGGCTCCCTCAGTGATGAAGCTGAACCACCTGGAGGTGTTGGCAGTGGTGTCGGAGGCCTGGGGATGGGAGGTGGAGTTGGGATGGGAGTCAGCATCCCTCCGCCAGAGATCCAGCGCATTTTGGAGGAGGTGTCGTACATAGCCCAGCGTTTCCGGGACCAGGACGAGGCTGAGGCCATCTGCAGTGAGTGGAAATTTGCAGCAGCAGTGGTGGACAGGTTGTGCCTGGTGGCCTTCTCTCTCTTCTCCATCATTTGCACCTTCACCATCCTCATGTCAGCGCCCAACTTCATAGAGGCTGTTTCCAAGGACTTCACATAGCTGGTTGCAGCAGCAGAAAAGAAGGGTAGAGATTAGGGATAAAGAAGAGATTAAGAAAGTGGAGGGCGGCAGCAATGAAGGGTGTAGTATGTGGTCCCAACCTATAGTCAAGACACCCCATTGGAAAGGAGGTGGATCACGCAGAGTTTTATGAGACAAATTAGAATATCTCCAGGAAGTAAATAGAGCCTTGCAGCTCCTCCAAGCTGCTTAATCATGTAATCAAGTTAACCAGTCAATAATATATTTATGATTGATGAACAAGTAATTACAAAGACACATCATTATGTTACATTAGCACATTCCAAGTTAAACATTAATTTGTTGTTTTAATCTGTTGTGATGTCAGAGACAAATTGTCCATTATCTAGAAGAAGAAAATGGTTTGGGCAGTCAGACTGGGTAGACTACAGGCAAAAGGTTTGGAATCAGTGGGCCGGTAGAGGAGAGCACTATATAGATTTTCTTTTGTACATTAAGTAAGATATCAATAAGGGGAAGATAATATAGCAGCTAATGGTCTTTGCCCTAAAAACTGTGTAAATATCATTCTTTTATCTGCACTATTCATTTGAGAACCAGCTTCATTTCACATACAGCACCGCACTCCACCTCACTGCCTCTTCTCTAGTTCAGTTCAATCACTACAATTGTTGTTGTCCAGTACAAATCCACACACACATGGGTGGAGCTCACACACCAACTGTTCAAGTACTCAACTCTTCATATGGAAGACACAGACCTTTTCGAATGATGTACCATCCCCGTAATGATGTAAACTAAAACAGTTTAGTTTAAGTCACTAACATGAGATGTTTCACTGTGAATTTTTGTGAATTTTTTGCTTTTAATATTAGATCAGCAGAGTATTAGACACAACATGACTGATTTGACACAAGTCAGGAGGCATTTTATGTATTTATCAGAGTAAGAATGTTTATTTAGTGATCATTTTTCACTTTTTCTTGCCAGTTTAATTTAAGCCAGTAGAATATGTAATGTAATAACAATTTGGGACAGTGTAATAATGAAACATCCAGTATATTCTATGAAAAAGCATTTTGTTGACTGGTGTTTACTGGTGTTGACCAGTAACACCAAATGCACAGGTGTCTTTCCAAAGTACAGTCAAATACTCTATGTTGAACTGTACAGTACATCTTTTAACCAAGTGGTCTGACACTACACATACAAGATATTCATTTAACTGTAGGAAACGGGTCAAGAAGTTGCCACTATTTTTGAAAACTGTTGTAAAAAAAACCCACATGTGTACTTGTTGGACTTCACTGTACATAAGTTGTCACCAAAGATGAAGGGCGATGTGACTTTTGAACCTCTTACACCACAGACAAAGGCTAGAGGCTCGACAGCAAGAGGAAAACTTCACAATGCCATCCGCCACATTATCACTGGAGAATATACTGTAGATTTATAAAAGGCCCCGGTGTCAAGTTTTGTCTGTGTTTTGTAAAGGGAGCCGAGTGACAGGTTCATATTACAAAGTTGATAATGTGTTTACATCTACTTCGCAGCCACCTCTTTGTTGTAGCTACAGTCATAGGTCTCTTTATCGCTTTCTCTGTCATTCTAAGTGTAAGTTGTTCACTCTCTTAAGTCAATAAAAGTTATTTATTCTCTGTATATAAGGCTCTGGGCGGATCTGTGGAGATCTCTGTACAGTTGCAGGGTTGAACAAATCAACCACAGACGTTTGCATAACTTAATGGGTAAACCACAAGACAATAGTTAATTGTATATTTATAGTATAAGATATATAAACACATATAAAGACACAATTGTATAAGATATATATTTGATAGATAAAGTTGAGCCCATTCACAAGCACAATGTCAGCATCAGTATCCTCGCTAATTATTATGAATACTAATGACACATTAAAGTGTCTCGTGTTTGTGTCACAGAGGGCTCTAAATCTGCAGCTTATATCACTATTATATTCACTGCGCCATCATGTTAATGGGATGTGTTGATTGGAAGGCAAAAAATAAATCATAAATTCAACTAGGAGTGATTTGCTTGAGCAGTGACCTTTTTGGACAGGTCAAACAGTCAAATAGTCTGACCAGGACAAGACAAATATGGGAAAATTCTCTTGTTTTGGCTAAAGGTCTGGTTTTCTTAGATAGTGGTAGAAAATTGGTCTCAGATAAGGAAGGGGAATCAAACAATGAAGAGAGGAAATCAGAGCTTAAATATGCCAAAAGCATGCGAGACGAAGAATGTGGGGCATGTTGTTATGGTCTAGGAAATATGCTCTGATTTCTTTTTTGTGCATGGCCAACAAAGGCTTCCTCTCAACTTCCAATTGTTTGATGTTTTGTGGATGAACTCCAATCAATAATACAGAACCCACATTTCAGGCTGAATGTTTGGTGCATTTATTTCCTAAAGTTTTATTTTAGTAAGTAAGTGTACAGAATGGAGGACTATCTGAAACTCCCAATTTCTTACAGGAATACAAGAATCTTTCAATTGGCATCAACTATGTCATTGTTCAACGTCTTCTGACCTCAATGATAACCTCATCTCAAAATGTTACTTTAAACTACTAATATAATGGTATTATAGAAATAAAAACTCCATGATTTTAGGCTGGATTTAATAAAAACTTTATTCAACATCTGCTTGCTCAGGGTTTGTTTGACAAGACGGCAGTCAAATATTATAGACACAATTACAGTAAGCACGGAAGACAGTTATACGTTCCAGGGGTGGAGTTTATTAATCTTCGAAAATACTATATAAACATTTTGGTTAATGGATTAAGACTTAAAGACACCTGCCAGAACATCACAGTGCATTTGGTGCTTTTCTATGATGTGTGTGTTTGTGTGGGTGCATGTGTAACACATAGGGACATTAAAGTGCTGAGTTATGCCTTCGGTATTCTAATCATTTATTAAAGGGCCATGGGAATAAAGATGAGTGAAACAGTCCATGACGGAGGCAGATGAAAGTACTGCAGCTCATGGGCAGAAGGATACGAAGCACATTGAACAAACCTTTTAAACAGAGATTCAGCAGAAAAGTTAGAAGCTACCTGTAAATCTTCACATCCAACTGTCAGACATGTCAGACTAATCAAACATTGGTTAATAGTTAATGTCAGTTGTGATTTGGAATGATCATACTGTAAACATATGAGCAGCTGAATTAGTTATGCAACGGTATGCTGATAAGATTGCACCATCAAATTGGGATGCCACTAGAAAGCCACACTGTAGGCTCTGCAATGTCTGGTCCAGTTCTACAGTTTTAGAAGGGATATGACAAAAGTAAATTGTGTGTCATCCATTTAAATAACTTCAGTGTGGAAGAGAGTAGGAGAGGAATATACAGTTAAAAAGTGTTCGGAAGGAGGACAACGGCAACATCAAATAGCAAAGGACAAAAAACAAATATGATGTGGTGATTCCCTTACATTCATTCAGGTGAGCAGTGTAAAACAAATTATTTTGGAACATAAATTGTGTGTGGTTTCAATGACCTGTTTAAATGGAAGGAAGAGAGAGGGAAAGACTTAAGGGTAGCAAGCAACCAGTCAGTAGTACTAGTAGTAGTAGGACATTCATAAAGAATATTACATAACTGGGGATAAACAGAGAATCCCAGCTTTATGGTTATGGGTTAAGGATAGAAATGGTAAAGTCATGATAGAGAATGAGTGCTGGCAGTCCATATGCTCATGGATTTGCGTGTTTTCTTATGCGCGCGTGTGTGTATAACTGGTGCCTGAAGGCTCTTAAGGCATTTTGGCTGAAAGACAAGCAGTCTCTTTATATACAGTGTTAAAGGTTAATCCCTCACTCTGTTTCTGCAAGTCAGGCCCTCCTCTGTTTTCTTCTGATTACCTTAGCTACACCCTTGTGGTTTTGGAGCGCCTGTGTGAGCAACAAACTGTGTAAGCGTCTATGCACTGAAGAGAATATCCTGGAGCCAACAAAAGATACAAGCAGTAAGGCTGCAGAATCCTTTAAAGCTATTATTTTACCAATAGAGAAATCTTTGGAGGGTTTAGAATCTGTGTATAGATCAGGATATTCATGTACACTCACTCTAATTGGCTGAGGGTGGCAATAATTTTTTTTAGTGAATACCGATCTCCTGTCCAGGAATATTGGGGCAAATATTGGATGAACCATGCAAAATTTTAATGACCAGCGACATATGAGCATTTAAATGTATTATGTCTATGTATATATATGCAGAATGCCATCAGGATTGCACATAGTTGATTTGAACAGTTGTAAATGAGTAGATATAAATTTGGTTGAAATAGCACAATGTGTGGAAAATGGTATGGAAAAAGGTGAAGGTAAAAAAAATTGAGCTCAAAATGCTCCTATTCGGCACAGGTTATTAACTCCAACACCTTCATTAATGTTGTCATCAGTGGAACGAAAGAAAAGGGAAGGACATCAGATGCCCAAACTGCCCAACTGCAGCCACATATGAAAGCGGAAGTGAACAAATGGAGACAAACTCAGCTCCCACCAGCAAGAACCTTAACTAGTGCTGCTCCAACCTTTCTCTGACTGGACTGAATCACTGGAAGTAACTGCTCAAAGTTAAGTCTGACCATATTATGACATGTCATGTTTTATAACAAATTTATTTTAAGGATAGGGAACAAGCAGCTAAGGAAAAGCTCTGCTGCTTGCAGTTTTGCTTTTGTTTTGTGGCTTGTGACACCTTACAGGCCTAAGGTGGGTGCGAAATGTTAGCTGTTATTAACACATGAAATAATCTAATGTATATCATTACAAGCATTTGCACACTTTAAATTTACATCAGAGTTGATTTTTGAAGCAGAAGAGACAGAATGGTGAAAGTAAACAGTACATCATCCACTCAATACAATGTACATATGCAAACCACAAGAAAAGAAAAGAAAACAAGAAAGTATAATTTGAGAAATTTTGATGAGCCATTTAATTTACATTAAATAAGTAGCCCTAATCTAATTTGGAAAAGGCTGGGCTGTTTGCATGGGCAGTATTAGCACATCTTCACAGCAAGAGTAGTAGTTATTTATTCTAAATCAAACTGCATTATGTACCCTCATTTGTACCCAATAAAACATGTACTACATTGATTTCATATGACTGTAGCAAACCTGAACACAATGGTGTTTGTCATGAGGAAAAAGTCAGATATTCTAACTCAGTTTTGACCTTAATTATTCAGGAATTTGGGGAATACACTCACCGCATTACACAGTTTAATTAGAAATCTGTGCATCCTCTGGGACATATGTGAGAATTTCATCAGGGATTAGAGCACAGCAGAAGGTGTAAAACACAATATACACATTCAAATACACACCACCTGAAACAAACATCACATCAATTGCCATATTTCACACTGTATTATTTTATGATTACCATTATTATTCCACTCTATTGTTATAGGCAACAACAAAAAAATAACTTGACTAAATACATGTTTTCACTCTCAAAATCAATGATTTTTCTAACATCGAAAATAGGACACAGCTAAGAAGTTTTATAAGATTGTGAATGTATTTTTAATTTTAAAATGGTGAAAATCAATTATTTAATGGTGGTATGCATGCTATAAATGTATAATTCATTATATATAATATGAAGTATTCTTTGCCAGGTTAAGGCCCTGGAAGACTTGTGAAGGTACAAGGTAAAATGATGCAGGAAAATGTTTACTATTTTGGCATTTTATTTGTGCTGCTGTAAAAAGATGCAAATAGTTTTTCTCCTGACAGGGTTTCCCATGGTCTCTAGAATATGGAAACTTTTTGCCCTTCCCCACACTCTTCCCTATGTTTTACATGTCCTACATTATGAAAATAAGATAACAGTCCTGGGGAAAACAAACCACTAAAACATATGCATGTACCCCAATCTCATCAACATCGCCTGGTATACATAGCAAACCCCCTGTGAGCACAGCTCAGCTGCCAGACTCTGCTGCTAATCTTCAAGTGCCTGAAATATTCAGCCAGACTTCCACAGTCAGGCGCCTTCTGAGATGACAACATGTAAACAAGTGTTGTTGTTGTCACTTTTCTGTTTGTTATTGTTATTGTTTTACTTCGAGCCTGCAACTCTGATGTTGATGATATGATATGGAGCCCATAAAGCTGATGATACACAGAGCAACTTTTAGAGCAATGTTGATAGGCAATGTTGCCGTCAATGGTAATGAGTAAAGATTACTACCGTAATCCACCCCCTGCCGCCCCGCCCCACCTGCCGCTATCCGTTCAAAACATAGTCGGAATTGCCACAAGCAAGACTGCTCAGCAACATTGCTCAAAATGTTGCCCCATGTATCATCAGCTTAAGTTGTTACTTGGCAAATTGCAAGACTGGCTGTCTGGATGCCTCACATACACACATGTAAAATATTGCGGCCGCCACTATGAGCAATACACACATAAACACAAACATGCTTGTAGGCCTATACCCTCAGCATAAGGACATTCATACTCGCTGTGCACAGCAGGGACCTGAGAGAGACCAGATTGCATGATCAGGGAGTGTCAAATGGTCAGACTGCTGAGCTCAGCATGCAGCTGATGTATACTTCATGGGGAAGTAATGAACCAAAACAGAGATGCTGTCCCTTTCACACATACACAT